TTTGTTGGATGAAATCAAAATATGTTGCATAAGTTATTTTAGGAAGCACAGAAGTGCAAAAAAAATTGTGGAAAAGAATACATATATTATGACAAAATTTGGAAGCGTGAATTTAACGAAGTAAGCACTTGTACAAGCACAACTCAAGATTGAGAAGAAACGGTCCTTTCGTCACATGCAAAGGACAATTCGATACATTAAGCTAGGGGTGTTTAACGGGCCGGGTTGACCTATTTCCGGACCGGCCCAGACCGGTATTAGCCCGGACCGGCCGGACCAGTGATAGGGGGCCGAGTAAAGCTGGATTTGGGGGGTTAGGGGGTTAGGACGTTTATATTTTTCTTATCGGTTAACCGGACCGGTCAAACCCGATCAAGGGAAAACATTGCTGAACCGGTTAACCGGACTGGTTCAACGATTATTTTTTGGAATTTTTTTTTTGAAAATCCATTTGACCGTTGGAAACGATCAGCTTCCAATTTGACTGTTGCCCAACGGATATTTTGCACGAATAGCCCTTTTTGGGGCAATTATTTTTAAAAAAAAATAACACTTTAGGTAATTACTAATTTAGCCCTTTGAAAAACTATAAATACACCCTCCCTACCCCATCTTCTTCATTTCTTCACTCATCTCTCATTTCTCAAACTCAAATTCTCAACAAGGTAAATCATGCCCCGTACTTGTAGAGTGCGCTCATATGTTTGGGAACGCTTTGAGGTGGTAGAAGAAAATGAAGAAGTTCACAAAGAAAAGTGCAAGAACTGTGGTCGAGTCTTAAATCTTCGTCTAAAGTGGGTGGGCACAGGCTGTTTGAGGAGGCATATGAAGAGTTGTCTTGAGTGTCCTACAGAAATTCTTATTTAAGTTGATTTGAGACAATTTGTGTTATTTTAAAATTATTAGACGTATTTATGTTTAATTTTTTAGTTTGTTAGATTAATTTGAAGTATTATTATGCAATGAAAATTTGAAATGAAACTATGAAAGCTTTTCAAGTTTAATTCTTATATATCAAGTTATTATAACACTCTGGTGTCCAGTATAAGATTTATGCTATAAGTTATATTTTTTTCATGTTCATTGTATTATCTTAAATTCGTAATGAATTTTTCAAATATAAGGGTCTTAAAGCCTTTGAAATTTATTCAAACACTCTTTTTATAAGATTATTTTTTTATTTTATATTTTTACTTTATAGTAATATAAATTATGATTGTTATACAAAATACAAAAAATAAATAAACCCGGCCCGGCCCCTTAGACCCAGAACCGTTCCGGTTCAATATTTATTGGATGGGCCCGGACCCGTTAAACCCGGTATGGAAAAATCGGTAACCGGCCCGGATTGGTGATCGGCCGGTCACTTTTTTCCTCGACCCGGACCGGCTCGGCCCACCCCTTTGACACCTTTACATTAAGCTTTCACTATGCACATTTTGTTAAAACTATATGATATTTATGATACACAGTTTTATCTTATATTTTTGCAAGAGACTATTTCTGAAATTTAACTCAGTAATTTCTCCTCTGGTCACCATCAGCTTGTAGAAATTAAGCAAAATTCTAACTCCCATAAGTAGCAGGAAAAATTATTGGGTTTTATTTATTAAATAAAAAAGGTGTGAATAGAAAATAGTGAAAAAAGAAATAGAGGAAAACGAAATTTTGAATTGGTTCCTTTTACGAAGTAACTTTGTCCCTCATCACATAAGAAGAGAAAAATTCTTGTGCTTATATATATAGAAGCACTTTTTCTAGCTCTTAAAAAGTTGAGACGAGAGCAAGCATCGCGCTGTCGTCGTCCCTCGGCTTCGACTTCAAATTTGGTCAATTGATTTGATTGATAATTTTTTTTGGACATAATTTATTTTCCTTTTCCGTTATTTATCTCTTTCCAGATATTTTTCGCGTAGATTTTATGTATTAAATTCACAGTTAATTTCCTAACGGTCATTTGCGAATTTAAAATTCGCGGCTAAATAGAAATACAAAATATTTCTGCCGAAATGATACCTTATGTGAACAGGTACCTTCGCACCTATAACCCAGAATATTTGACTATAAATTCAGAGACTTTGCTTCATTTTTCCACCACCGAAAATCTGAAAACTCTCCCTTCTTTCTTCTACATTTCTGCATTGGTTTTTCAAAGCAAAAAGTAAACATTAAATGTGATTTGCTCAGCCATTTGATTTGGCCGAAATTCTGCCATTTATAGTGCCGCTATTACAAAATTGAGAGGAATACTTGGGCAAATATGTGGGGATTAAATTTCTTGAAGACAACACAAAAAACTTATGGGCTCGAAATTTTTGTGATTCTCTTTATTAAACTAATTTTTCATGTCTTTTAACACAGTTTACTAACAAATATATCAACATTCAATTGGTTGATTACTACTGTCCGCACATTTCCAGAAATAACAAAATCAAACAAAGATACCTGTTTCCAAGAAAACGACGAATCCGATTTAATATCTCATTTTCAACATGCAACACTCAAAAGAGTGTTAACATCCACTTGTGCCTTGCCCCATTGTTCCTCCTCCACCAACTCCAGTATCTCTGCTCTTAAAATTATTCTTTTTAGTTAGATTATATCTGAAATATTGAGAATTTCTTGCATTTTAGTATTTGGAAAGCATTGGAGTGTAAAAAAGAGAACTTTTCAGAGACATGGCTACTTCAGCAGTCTCTGGAAACTCAATTTCATGCACAACTTCCATTTCAAGCATTTCTAGCTTCAACAATTTCAGAAACAGAAACCCAAATCTTTTGTTGGGTAGAAGGAGTTTTTTATTGTATAATTGGAGAAGAAGAAGCTTCTATGTCTGCAACGTGGCTAGTGATCAAAAACAGAAGATGAAGGATTCTTCCTCTGATGAAGGTACTGACATAATTTTCATTGGTAATTTACTAAATTTTTTGAACTTTTGGGCTCGTGTGTTAGAGTCTACAACAACAACAACAACGTAACTCAGTGGAGGGCATATATGGAAATTTAAATAATTATTTGTGGGACCCAGGTTGAATGTAGGCAGGGGAAAATTAGTTACAAGTATAGCAGAGGGGGTAGAGTATTCTTTATGCGGAAGTTGTCAAGTCTTAGCTCTTTGTTCTCATCTCCCTTCTTCTATATTTCTCATCTCCAATTCTGTATCAGTCTAATTCTCATCCCCTTCTTCTTAGATTTCTGTTGCTTTATCCTTACTATCGTTAGCATCTACATTGTAATTACAATTACTGTTGAGTTAATATAATCAGTTGGTTGGGTGTAATATCGGATTTGTTACATTGGTGCTTTCATCCAGAGGTCTCCAATGGAGGACGAAAAAGTACTCAAGGCTTTCATTGATAATTCAATTCGTGATTCAGTTCAACAAATGAAGGATTCAATTTCTAAGGATCTAGCTGAACTTCGTTCTGTATTGTTGGAGGTTATGGGGAAAAAGTCTATGACCTCTTTTCAACCCCGAGATACAGCTATGGACGCCAAATTATTGGGGTTTCGAGGCGAGAATCCGGAGGCTTGGATATTCCAAGCAGAACGTTATTTCGATTTTTAGGCGTCGTTCTACCTCGAAGGTGAAGCATTGGAATGGTACGGGTGGTTAGTTAGAAACAATCAATTAATTGATTGGCCACATTTTGCTGATAAGGTGAGAATTCGATTTAAACAGAAAGGGCCCGTGTCAGCGGAAGGGAGATTAGCGAAACTCCGGCAAGTAACCTCTATGGCTGAGTACGAAAGTCATTTTGAAGCTATTTCGTCGGAGTTGGGTGGGTTAGATGTACTTTCTCCAGGCCTTGCATATGTTCCTCCACAATGGAGCAGTATAACCACCTCACAATTGCCGCAATACTGTGGTGAGCAGTCTGATTGCGAAAGCAGTATCAATGCGTGCAAGATCTTCGATGAATTGTTTGATAGGTCCAAAGATGCGACTTCTCTTAGTACATCTGCCAAGCTTGGTCAGCTTATGATTCAGGATCCGCACAAGGTGAGTAAGCTGACAATACATACCACTAAGGCAACTGCTTGCAATAACGACTCTAACACTGAAGCGAAGAATGATGAGGCAAAAATTGTTCCCATTAAAAACGAACCTCTAGACTTTGTTGCTGCAATTGCAGAGAAGCCTTCATCGCGGATTAATTCTACATTCTGTATTCCCTATGACCTAGTCGTGTTTGGTAATCACAAAGTTTTAGAAGGTTGTTGGAATAATTTACTTGTTGGAAATTCCAGCAAAGTATGCCTTCAACGTCGACTAGGGCTTGCTCAATGCTTGGAGGAGATGCCTTGTATTCTTTGCGCTTGCAGTTATGCCCAGCTTATAAGCAGAGGTATATGTTATCACTGCAATGCACTTTGTCATGATGTACTTATAACAACTTTGCATCAATTTTTCCCTGTTCAATTCGGATTAGAGTTTCCATTTGATCCTGGATCTACTTTGCTTACCACATCCATTGGAGTAGCAAGAGATTGTGATGCTTCGGGCAACTTAAAGCCTGATAAGTTCATAACGTTAACCTTGTGGAATTCTTGTATTACACCTTTGAAACTTCAGTTGAGACATATTGTTGATGTATGTGCTTGGGTGCCAATAGAATGTGTGGGCAAAAATATTCTAATACAAGTTGTTGTTGCTGGTACATATGCTAATGCTGCCATTACTGATGGATTTCTGAGAAAACTTGGACAGATACATGTATGCAACATCACCTTCTTGACAATTATCAACTTTGATTTTATGTTGGATGGTACTTCTCCTTCTACTATCCATTTTCTTATTGACACAAGGAAAGAGGTGGGTTGTGCTATTATAAACATCAGGGTGAATGCTTCTTTGGGTGTCATGTATGAAGTTTTACAACTTGCAAGTGGACTGGTTAATCCCACTGTCATTATTCTGGTTCTTCAATCTGAAGTTGTCCTATTGTAAAGGGAGGAATGCCTTGGACACGTTCTTGCGAGCATCACTGGAGAAGGAACCGCATTAGATAGATGTTGTTGATTATTGAGTATCATCAACTGGAGCCATTTACAGCCACTCCTCGAGATAATATTCTTCAGAGACATGAGCTTTTGGAAATTCTCGCCAAAGACCCGGGAGCAACCACAACTTGGTTTAGTTGTCTATGTCAACAATGATCAACTTGGTGTTCCTTGCAAGCATGAAACTATGCACAATTTTAAATCATATAGCTGTCCACATGTTGGGTCGGAGTGCGCTATGGTGTTTCTTCATTTGGCACTTCATTTATATGAGGCAGTGACTAGGCAAAATCTCAGGCATCCTCGTTTTGACGCTTACCAGGATGGATTATATGCTGGGGGTGATTATCAGATGGTTGAAATTTGTTTCAACATTCATAGATATGAAATTTTGTCTGCTATGGATAATGTCTACACATGCATAAACCCATTCAAAGTTCTATTCTGGTGGAGGACTGCATTGATTTACCAAACACTAGAAGAGGAGTATAGTACACTAATTCATGGTCCACCATATCAAGCTTGGCTAATAGTTCTAGCAAATAAAAAGAGGGTCATCGGAGATTATTGGGCTAAGCAGGCCCTAAAGAAAGTGTTGGTTTGGCATCATGACTTCATTAACCTTCTGAAAGATAAATGTGTCACCAAAGAGAGTGAGAAGAACAGTGCATATGCAAAGGAAGTTGATATTATTTTATGGATTCGTATGACTTTGGCTGATGGGTTCGACTTCTACAGAGCAAGGTTCTTGCAACAAATAACATTACTCTACCCGAACCTTGAGGACAAGGTTCTTTTTGAGGCGGGAGGTATTGTTGTGAACTTAGTGAGTAACTCAGTGGAGGGCATATATGGAAATTTAAATAATTATTTGTGGGACCCAGGTTGAATGTAGGCAGGGGAAAATTAGTTATAAGTATAGCAGAGGGGGTAGAGTATTCTTTATGCGGAAGTTGTCAAGTCTTAGCTCTTTGTTCTCATCTCCGTTCTTCTATATTTCTCATCTCCAATTCTGTATCAGTCTAATTCTCATCCCCTTTCTTCTTAGATTTCTGTTGCTTTATCCTTACTATCGTTAGCATCTACATTGTAATTACAATTACTGTTGAGTTAATATAATCAGTTGGTTGGGTGTAATATCAGATTTGTTACACCAGTAATTTCCCACTAGTGGGTTCTGGGGAGGGTGAGATGTACGCAGCCTTACCCCTACCCTGGAAGGGCAGAGAGGCTATTTCCGATAGACCCTCGGCTGGAATGTTTAGAGTCTTAACAATAGTTAAATGAATGACTTGTTGTATTCTTAGTATGATTTTTCGGACAATCCACGTCATTAGCTAGTTTTTAATGTTGATTTATGCCCAAGGTTCGTTTATTTAATATGATATTAGAGTCAGACTCATCCTAATTTTTTATTTATCCAACGTTGGGCCCCCATCTTGAGAGTCCCTAATCTAGGATTTGAACATTATGGGTTCGAGATGCCACTAAACTCATCGACCATTTAAGTTATTATATTTGAAATTTAATATACGTATGTATTTAGCTGATTTCCTAACACATATACAGTGTCTAAGCCAAAGCCGAACCCATAGCTAATATGCTACATTCACTCATGTTCATCTTATTTTATCCACGCTCTAGATGTCCAGCCTGGACGTGCGAGGTGTTCGTCTTGCATTGTTGGGATGTTAGAGTCCTGCATTGGTGGACGGAATAAGTTGTTATCTCATTATATGGTCGTGAAAAATTCTCATTCATGAGCTAGCTTTTGGGGTTTGTCTCCTCTTATAATATTGGACAATCCTCATCTCACGAGCTAACTTTTGTTATCCCCTTGAGGCCTTGACTGTTAGAAATACTATTGATTCAACTTTCACTTCTATAGCCTTGTAACTCATACTAATGAATGCAGACTCCCCCAATCTCATCTTTAATAGTTATCTGTTCGTCTTCCTGGGATAGTCACAGCTTGTATCACTGTTATCTTTTGGAACTAAATAAGGCCTTTGAATAATTCTCATCAGAATCCAGGTACATTAATGTATTCATCTTCCTTAGGTGAGTCAAAATTCAGAATTGGGGAGAGGACTATGAGAATCAATCAACTGGAGCCCTTGTATTAACTGAGAAATCAAGATTGAGTAAAAAGTAGACTAAAAATAGTTTGTCAGTGCATCTAGTATTGTTTTCACTCCTTAGTGGCTATTAACATAGAGGAAGTAGAGAAGCAACAGACATTATTTGGACCCTTTGTTAATTGGACCAATTGGACACCTTCCAGTGATTTCTTTTTTGGTAATTTCAGGATTCACATTGGATGTTTTCCAGCCAGACTCCACATCTGTTTTATCAAGTATAAAGTATCACGCAGAGTTCACGCCATCATTCTCTCCTGAGAAGTTTGAACTTCCCAAGGCATACTATGCGACTGCAGAGAGCGTTCGCGATATGCTCATTATAAATTGGAATGCAACATACGATCTCTATGAAAAGATGAATGCGAAACAGGCATATTATTTGTCTATGGAGTTCCTTCAGGTTAGATTAGGCTTCCCTTTTATTCGGAGTATAACTTCAGAGATTGTTCATTGGAGTGAGTTGCTCTAATACGCTTTTGGTGCTTACAGGGAAGAGCTTTACTTAATGCAGTTGGAAACTTGGGGCTAACCGGACCTTATGCAGAGGCTTTAACTAAGCTTGGATACAGTTTAGAAGACGTGGCCAGGCAGGTCGGTTGTCTTTAGAAAACTTATTTTTGTAGATGGTTAGCCACTAGGCAGTAGTTTCTGTTCAATTGAATTTGTGTCTTGTTTTTGTACAGCCCGATTTGGCTATTACTGACACTTAAACTTTGCTTTACAATGAGAAACGTTGAAGAGCTACTAGCTTCCGTTTCTGAATAGCACAAGTTCTTGATTGATATGCTCTCCGGAAAGATCTAACTGACGCATTAACATAGTTGAGGATGTGTACCTTCCACTTAGGAATTGAAGCATAATCTGATGTGTGACATACTCCGGATAGTAGTCTACTGAAATTAGCTTAAGCTGTTTAGTGTAATGACTGACAGGAACCAGATGCAGCTTTAGGGAATGGAGGCTTAGGAAGACTTGCTTCTTGCTTTCTGGATTCAATGGCGACGCTAAACTACCCTGCATGGGGTTATGGACTTAGATACCGATATGGCCTTTTCAAACAGCTTATTACAAAAGATGGCCAGGAGGAAGTTGCTGAAAATTGGCTTGAGGTACAATATGTCGACTTTTTATACTTGTCGCAATTCAAACACTGAATGATATGTCGACTTTTCATATTTCAATAGCTTTTATATGTTTTTTTGGCTATTCTCCAAAGTAATAGGACTGACTATTATTATCTCAGATGGGAAATCCATGGGAAATTGTGAGGAATGATATTTCATATCCTGTAAAATTCTATGGGAAGGTCATTGAAGGAGCTGATGGGAGGAAGGAATGGGTTGGAGGAGAAGATATAACTGCTGTTGCCTATGATGTCCCAATACCAGGATATAATACGAAAACAACGATTAACCTTCGACTGTGGTCAACAAAGCTAGCTGCCGAAGCTTTTGATTTACGTGCTTTTAACGATGGAGACCATGCCAAAGCATATGAGGCCCAGAAAAAGGCTGAAAAGGTGTGCTTCTGTTTGTCTTATTAATACTGTGCTATTCCAAAGTATGAATGTGCATTTACTGCAAATTCAGTTTATTCACCAAATGAAGAGGATCCACTAAAGTTCTGTGTCTTGTTGTATTTTGGATCAGATTTGCTATATCTTGTATCCAGGTGACGATTCACTTGAGGGAAAGACGCTTAGGTTGAAGCAACAATACACACTTTGTTCTGCTTCTCTTCAGGACATTATTGCACGGTTCGAGAGGAGATCAGGGAATACGGTTAACTGGGATCAGTTCCCTGAAAAAGTTGCAGTACAGATGAATGACACACATCCAACACTTTGCATACCAGAAATATTAAGGGTGTTGATGGATGTTAAAGGTTTGAGCTGGAAGCAGGCATGGGAAATTACTCAAAGGTTCTCTTACCTTATTGCATCAGACAAATGCTTTTTAGCTGAATAATCAGTTTAATATTATAGTTAGATTGCCTTTGGATTTGCCTTTTGAGCATAGATGATTCTTCGCTTGTAAGTAGTCATGTAAGTTCAGTAGCTCTATTCCTGTGACACTGTTTTATCTTTGACAGAACTGTGGCGTACACTAACCACACTGTTCTACCTGAGGCACTGGAGAAATGGAGTTTGACACTTCTTCGGGAACTGCTTCCTCGGCACGTGGAGATCATAGCAATGATAGATGAGGAGGTAAAAGTTGAAACTTTATTTCAGTTCTACGATTAAGTTGATTATACATTTTGAACCATAGCCATTATATATTCAACGCCACCCCACCTCCTAAGGGCGAATTTGGTGCTGCTCTGCGTGTTATGTTTACTTCTTTCTTTCTGCAAACTGTTTCCTGTGGATACTTTCCCGGACTTCGTGATGTGTGCTGAGTGCTCGTATGTATAGTATGCTTCTAGAGATTTTTCCTTGACTTCTTGATCTCTAAAACTGAATTGGAGGGGATGGTTTTGCAGCTCTTGCATACTATAGTTGCTGAATATGGTACTGAAGATCTTGACTTGTTGCAAGAAAAGCTAAACCAAATGAGGATTCTGGAAAATGTTGAAATACCGAGTTCTGTTTTGGAGTTGCTTATAAAATTCGAGGAAGGCAAAGAACAAGCAGAAGAACCAAAGGTAGAAGAAACACAAGAAGAAGGAGGTAAAGATGACACTAAGGATGAGGAAACTGAGGCTGTAAAAGCAGAAACTACGGCCGAAGAGGAAGAAACTGAGGTTAAGAAAGTAGATGCGGAGGAGCCTCAAGCAAAAATAGCACGGATATTTGGGTCGGATCCAAATGGACAACAAGTGGTTCGCATGGCAAATCTATGTGTAGTTGGTGGGCATGCAGTTAATGGTGTTGCTGAGATTCATAGTGAAATAGTTAAAAAGGAAGTTTTCAATGAATTTTACGAGGTACAAGATTATATCACACGCCTAGAACTGGCGGATATCATTTTCAGTTCTCCACAATGCTGTTTTGACTGATCCAAACACTTTGTTTCTTAACAGTTATGGCCAGAGAAATTCCAAAACAAGACAAATGGCGTAACACCAAGAAGATGGTTAAGTTTCTGTAACCCAGAGTTGAGTGACATTATAACTAAGTGGACAGGATCTGATGATTGGTTAGTAAACACTGAAAACTTGGCAGAGCTTAGAAAGGTATCGAATTGTATCTGATTTGTGATCTTATTGATTCCTAAACAATTGTTCAGCAGGGCTTTTCCTTTTTGTTCTTTCCATCGGTCCTTCTATATGGAGCGAGATCTGTATAAACATGATAAGAACATATAAAATGTTGGGCAAAATACAAAATTTGCCGGTCGGCTGAAACTGATTGCATTGCTAGCCAAAAAGTGTATAAATATAATACGTATATAATACATATTATATACAAAAAATATACATATTGTCAGCTATTATTTTTGAAAGAATGGTTACTAACTTCAGGCATTTAACTGTCAACAGTTTGCTGATGAAGAAGAACTCCAGTCAGAGTGGAGGAAGGCAAAAAGAAGCAACAAAATGAAGATTGTCTCTCTCATTAAAGAAAAAACTGGATACGTTGTCAGTCCTGATGCAATGTTTGATGTTCAGGTGAATAATATCGGTTTTCTCGCTCACCAATTTTAATTTTCAATGTTTTGACACTTCGATAACTAAATATTGAGTCTCTGTGGCCCTTTCTTCCTCTTTATTTGATTCTTTCTGGATTTCAAATATAGCCATGCTTCTCTATTTCCAGATCAAGCGCATTCATGAGTATAAGCGGCAGCTATTAAATATATTCGGAATTGTTTATCGCTATAAGAAGATGAAAGAAATGAGCCCTGAAGAGAGAAAAGAAAAGTTTGTCCCTCGAGTTTGTATATTTGGAGGAAAAGCATTTGCTACATATGTTCAGGCCAAGAGGATTGTAAAATTTATCACCGATGTCGGGGCAACAGTGAATCATGATCCTGAGATTGGTGATCTTTTGAAGGTATGATTTGGACGAGTCAAACCGATGTTTGCTTAAAGATTTCAAAGATCTTACTAACCATTTTACCATTAGTTAACATTAAAAGTTTGCAACCTTTCAAATAATTTAAGTATGATAATCTTTTAGCAAAATATAGCATGGTTCTACCAGGTGGGGTCTGGGGAGGGTAATGTATACGCAGACCTTACCCCTACCAGTAAATATCTCATGTATTAACTAGTAATAGATCCTGTGGTTATACCTTTTATAAGTCCCATATGGTGCATGCATTAGATTTGAGAATTTATCTTCTCTTATTTCAGGTTGTCTTTGTCCCTGATTACAATGTCAGTGTGGCAGAAGTGCTAATTCCTGGCAGTGAGCTGTCCCAGCATATTAGGTGCTTAATTTCACTAGTTCATATATATATTTTGCAGTCGCATCTCACGTTTAATGGTTGAAAATTTGTCACATCTCTCTACACTTCATAATGAGCATTACCATACCTTGAAGAGATTCGACTTTGTGCATTTTGATGCATTTTTCTTTCATTTGATTTGTTATTAAAATATGGGAGCATTGCACCAAGAGCATATTGCAGTTTTGTCTGCAGTTATTACTGGCCTACACTTCTTTAGTATGGTATATACATCAATTTGCATACATACTTTAAACTTCAAAATTTGAATACTAATTAATCTAATTCTTACGTTGCTTTTCCTTCTATTTTTTGGTTCTTACGTTGCTGGTATTGTCTTTCTAGCTTTTGTTGTTGTTACGGATTTACTGTCTCTTTTCGTCTTCTTGAGCCGAGGGTCTATCAGAAACAGCCTCTCTACTCCTCCGGAGTAGGGGTAAGGTCTGCGTAACACTACCCTCCCCAGACCTCACTTGTACGATTTTAGTGGGTTGTTGTTGTTGCAATTAATCTAATTCCAGAATAGTATGGTTTAAATACTTAGAACTTAGAGAGAAAACATGCAATTGCACATCCAAATCGGTTATGTATAATAGGCAAGGAGAGTGTACTCTAGGACTAATGTTGCATAACAAACTGACCACTATATACCTATTTACTTATAATACAGCTTTTTGTATGAAGTCACTATTTTGTCTTGAGCTAACATGTCATATATCTCTTTGATATCTCGATATTATTTAAAATAGCACTGCTGGTATGGAGGCTAGCGGAACCAGCAACATGAAATTTGCAATGAATGGCTGCCTCCTCATTGGGACGTTAGACGGTGCCAATGTTGAAATAAGGGAGGAAGTTGGAGAGGACAATTTCTTTCTCTTTGGAGCTCAGGCTCATGAAATTGCTGGCCTACGTAAGGAAAGAGCCGAGGGAAAGGTGAGGTTAACCGTAAATGAATAATTTTTCATTCGTTATCAACAAATTATATTGCACAAGCACAAGCTCATAACAAAGTTATATATATTCAAGTGAATTTTTGGACCAAAACAGAAGCTGCAGTATCCTTATTGATGAAGTGTGTCTTACCTTATCTTTTCTTCATGTAGTTTGTACCGGACCCTAGATTTGAAGAAGTAAAGGCATTTGTTAGGACAGGCATCTTTGGCCCCTACAACTATGAAGAACTCATTGGATCCTTGGAAGGAAATGAAGGCTACGGCCGTGCTGACTATTTTCTTGTAGGAAAGGATTTCCCTGACTATGTAGAGTGCCAAGATAAGGTTGATGAAGCATATCGAGACCAGAAGGTATACTTTTTCTCATAGTAACTCACATTCATGTTGCATGATCTGTGTCTTCTCTTGAATACATTCCTTCCCATAAAGCATAAGAGGTCTAAAAGTCAATGCTGTCTAACCATGTCTTTCTCTGTTTCATATTAGTCGTGCGAAACAGTTGGCCATGCACAATTGTGTCTGTGGCTGCTGTAAACGATTGAATTCAATGATCTTCGTTTTTCTTTTTCTATGATAAAACTGGTTGTCACTATTATAGCTACTGCTATCAGTTGACAATTAGATGTCAAATGGAAACACCTTCAGCATATGATTAGCATTGCATTTGGATACTATCAAGCTTATCTTTTCAGAAGATCATCATGCCTATGATTAGGAAACAGTTCCTTTATGTCATTCATACAATCGTGAAGAAATACAGGGTAAGGTTGCGTACAATAGACCCTTGTGGTACGGCCTTGACCCCGCGCACAGCGGGAGCTTAATGCACCGGGCTACCCTTTATAGAAACGTGAAGAGAAGCTTGGGTAGCGAATGGTATTGTTTCTAAAACATGTATCGTTCAAATGAATGCAGAAATGGACCAAAATGTCGATCTTGAACACAGCTGGATCGTCCAAGTTTAGCAGTGATCGAACAATTCATCAATACGCAAGAGATATATGGCAGATTGAACCTGTTGAATTACCTTAAAGTTAGCCAGTTAAAGGATGAAGCCAATTTTTTCCGGAGGTTCTTCTCCCTATTTGTTCCTTTCTATTATTTCTTGTTACTACTGCTTTCTTTTTATCTTTTCTTGAGCCGGGGGTCTATCGAAAACAACCTCTCTACTTTTTAGGTAGGGGTAAGGTCTGCGTACACACTACCCTCTCCAGACCCCACTTATATTGGGTTTGTTCTTCTTCTTCTTCTCCCTATCCATAAAGATGGTAAAATCTTGCCAACTCTTGTTGCCATAACAGAAGCCCCTAAGCTACTGAAATTTAATCATGTGTTAAGAGAACACTTGAATTTTATTGGCAATAAGAGCTGATTCCATTTTAAATTAGTGCATTTTGCTTTGAATAGTTCCAGTTTGAGCAGTTTAACATTGCATTTCCTTGTAAATAAAATAAATCATAATTAGTTAAAGTAAATACAAGTGTCTAATGGACATAGAAGCCAAAATATCTATAAAAAGATATAAATAAAAGGAAATTCTCAACATTTTAATTTTATATATAAGAAAAGTTGTGAGAAGATATTTTAACTGTTTCATTCACTACCTAAACAAAAATTAATATTGGTAAGAATAAACAGGACATGTGTTTACAAATAGTTAAACCAAAGAAGAATTTATCCGCACATAGTGTTTACACCAAACTAATGAATAGAAGATTTGTCTCTTATATATACTACATATAATTTAATTTTTTATTAAATATAATTAAAACGTCATCTCTTAAGCCTATCTTATCTTTTTTTTTAATCATCTTTTGCATACCAAGACAAGTAATTGTTAACACATTGACACCAATATTTGAAAAAAAATCATGAATAACCATATTTAGAGCCTGTGATTGAAAAATAACCATAGTTTCATAAGTCACCATCTTCATTTGATTTCCATTCATCAGCAGGACAACCACGTATTATCCCCAAATTTCATTTCAAATGCAAAGTTTCTCTTTTGACTGTTACCCGACAAAGATACGTTATATTTTCTTCCTATTATCAAAATAGTTTGAGACTCTATTTTTGCTGCATAGTAAATTATTTTATTTTTTCTGTTCTAATACTTTATCCGAGAGTTAGGTCGACTGTCCTTCACTAATTTCAAGTGTTATGTAAAATTTGTATCTAATGCAATTGATCCTAATGGGACAATATCTGGCAAAAAATTGACCGAAATAAAAGAAATCATTAAAAAAATACCTCGCTGGTTACATAAATTAACCATCGAATTGGAGCCATGATTTGATAGATATACATCAAAATCTACAATCTAGTTAATATAATATAGATATATAATCAAAATAGAAATAATATATAATTATATGAAATTAATCTTTATTCCAGAATCAAAGAAAGATAATAAATGGCTCTTATGGTGTGACATGGAAGAAAGGTACTCATTTTTTAAAGATCTCTCAAGGTGTTAACCTAATTTGAGAACTTGCTCTGATACCAATTGTTAAATTGAATGCTAGTTGTAACATTTATTTATTTCTTTTTTGTTAAATATACACTGACTAGTTATTTTTAAGTAACATAACTGCACTGTAAATCTATCTATATCTATCTATATATTATTAAAAGGAGAAGAAAAAGCCTTCACATTAAGCCAAGTGGCAGCCTCATAACATGCTACTTGACAATTTAGGATAAAGTTAGTTATGTTAGATAATAATTAGTTTCTTTTTGAATTAGAATCTTAAAAAAAAAAATTATGCATTATGTGTTGTTCATAGTTAGTTACTCTTTTTGAATTTGAATTTAAACTTACTTAACTATTTTTTTACGGAAACAATGATTTTTATTATTGAAAATTATTTATTATGAAACTTATCCTATTTTAAATTAGGAAGTTACCAACACGTAATATAAGTTCATATATTATCTTAAAATAATGATAGTGAAGCATGATATCAAGCCAAGTATCATATTGAGAAATGTTACGTCGCACTTTAAAACAAAAATTTAACTAGATTTTATGAGAAAATCTAATATAAATCTATATTATAGATTTGTGTAGACAATTTGAAATGCTAAGAGTGTATTTGAAATAAGCTAAAATACATAATTTTTAATATTCTTATCTATATATTAAAATGAAGAGAAAAAAGCCTCCACATTAAGCCAAGTGGCAGCCTCACAATAGACCACTTGGCAATTTAAGACAAAGTTAGTTAGGTAAGGTAATAACTAGTTTCTTTTTAAATTTAAATTTAAAAAATAAATAAATTATGCATTATGTGTTATCAATAATTCATTACTCTTTTTGAACATGAGTTTAAACATACTTAACTATTTTTTTTTATGGAAACAATAATTTTTATATATTGAAAATTATTTATTATGAAACTTATCCTATTTTAAATTAGGAAGTTGCCAACACATAATATAACTTCATATATTTTATTAAAAGGATGATAGTGAAGCATGAGGTTAACGCAAGTGTCATATAGAAAAAATGTTGTTTCGTACTTTAACGGCAAATTTAACTAGATCTTTTGACCATATCTAATATAAATCTATATTATAGAATTGTATAGACAATTTGTAATGTTAAGAGTGTATTTGAAATTGAAAGCTAAAATACACTATCTTTAATATTCTTATTAGATTATATCATTATATATATTTTTGATGCATGAGGTGGCCGCTATGGGTCTGAGGGTAAGTTTTCTCTTCCCTATTGTGCTCTTTTTATCCTTGTCGACCTAGGCCTTAATCAATTTTTGTTTTTCAGACGTACATGNTCAAGTTTTTGGTTTTTCAGACGTACATGGTGGAGATTGAGAATGCTCGTAGGGCCGACACTCGGGCCAAGATTTTTCTGACGATGTTGGAGAAATATCGGCGCTACCGCAACAAGTGCCATGAGATGCACGAGCGGCTGAGGGCGAATGCAGGTGATCGATCCCTTGGTGAGGAATTGGAGAAGAGGGATCAAGAGCTGATGCAGGCTATTCGCAGGAGTAGCGAGATTGAGGAGCAACTTCGTGTAAAGGACGAAGAACTCAAGGTGGGCAAGGGAGTTTCCGCAGAGTGTGAGCATCTTCAAGCGAGGTTGCGATCGATGCAGTCTGAGATGGATCAGAATGCCATCAGGGTCGAGGCGATGAGCGCGGAATGGATGGGGAAATTGGCCGAGCTGGAGAGAAAGGTCGTCGGACTGGAGAATATCGAGAGCGCCTGGTCGGCGGCTTTGGCGAGGGCGGCGGCTCTAGAGAACACTATCCGCGTCCTCCAATCCGAGCAGGAATCAGAAAGGGCGACGGCCACGCTAAGGGAAGCGAGACTCGAGGAGCGTATTGGTGAGATCGACTGGGAAGCGTCGACCTTGGGGGATCATGTCGCTGCTCTTGAGGCTAAAAAGGAGCAACTGTTGGCTCAAGTCGAGTCTTCCTCCGCCACCTCTCCCCGTCATTTGCATGAGCTCTGGGTTCATGCTGAGGCCAGCGGGACATATATAAGAGTTTGTGGGAGGCGGGCAATATTTCCAAGGCTGCATATGAAGGAGCACGAGCGAAGGCACGAGAGGCTCGTGTTAACTATGGATATGATCCTTCAACGCCGGATGTCGACTGGGGTGTTGATGATGGAGGACTTCCTGGAGAGGGTGATGGAGAGGACGGCGGTGATGACGCCGAGTGAAAGAATTGTTGTTTTCGTTGTTGCTTGTTTTTTTTATTTGTTGTTCATCGACCCTTTTTCTGTTTTTTTTTATTTGGATTCCGTCGGTTTTAGCTGTATGTAATCTGCAGCTGTTTGCGCAGTAGCTTTGTATAAAGAGGAATTTTGCATTGTTGTATGCCTCCTGTTCTTTTTGCTTTTTATAATTTTGGCGCAAAGAGGTACATTTTCGTGTGGTGGATTCTTGATTCTCAAGAAATTCAATATCACACGGATTGAATAGGATTTTGATGACGGCGTTTAGGCTAAACGCAGGGATGGTATTTTCGAACTTGTGTCGAAGCATTATCCCGTCGCAGTTCGAGTGATGGCGAGCCCTTTCCCCTAACCCGTCGCGAGTCCCAGTCCTCTTTAGCGATGACTCTTGGTCTCAAGGGTGTTATTTCTAACTTGTCGAAATGTTAACCCGTAATTGTTCGATCGACGTCGAACTCTTCTTTTTGGCGATGGCCCTTGGCCTTAAGGGTGTTATTTCGAACTTGTCAAAATGTTAACCCGTCGTTGTTCGATCGAGGTCGAACTCTTTTTTTTGGCGATGGCCCTTGGCCTTAAGGGTGTTATTTCGAACTTGTCGAAATCTTGACCCGTCGTTGTTCGATCGAGGTCGAACTCTTCCTTTTGGCGATGGCCCTTAGCCTTAAGGGTGTTATTTCGAACTTGTCGAAATGTTAACCCGTCGTTGTTCGATCGAGGTCGAACTCTTTTTTTTTTTTTTGGCGATGGCCTTTGGCCTTAAGGGTGTTATTTCGAACTTGTCGAAATGTTAACCCGTCGTTGTTCGATCGAGGTCGAACTCTTCTTTTTGGCGATGGCCCTTGGCCTTAAGGGTGTTATTTCGAACTTGTCGAAATGTTGACCCGTCGTTGTTCGATTGAGGTCGAACTCTTCTTTTTGGCGATGGCCCTTGGCCTTAAGGGTGTTATTTCGAACTTGTCGAAATGTTAACCCGTCATTGTTCGATCGAAGTCGAACTCTTATTTTTGGCGATGGCCTTTGGCCTTAAGGGTGTTATTTCGAACTTGTCGAAATGTTAACCCGTCGTTGTTCGATCGAGGTCGAACTCTTCTCTTTTTTTTTGGCGATGGCCCTTGGCCTTAAGGGTGTTATTTCGAACTTGTCGAAATGTTGACCCGTAATTGTTCGATCGAGGTCGCACTCTTCTTTTTGGCGATGGCCCTTGGCCTTAAGGGTGTTATTTTGAACTTGTCGAAATGTTACCCGTCGTTGTTCGATCGAGGTCGAACTCTTCGTTTTGGCGATGGCCCTTGGCCTTAAGGGTGTTATTTTGAACTTGTCGAAATGTTAACCCGTCGTTGTTCGATCGAGGTCGAACTCTTCTTTTTGGCGATGGCCTTTGGCCTTAAGGGTGTTATTTCAAACTTGTCAAAATGTTAACCCGTAATTAGTCCCAGTCTTCTGGAGAGTTTTGGGTGTCTTCCGGGGGGTTCCCAGTTTGCTTAATTTGTGTGCATTGGGGAGTGTGATGACGGAGAGTACAGAACGCTGTTATCCTGCTAATGTTTGCTTTACGCGTGTATTGGGGGCCTTCCTGTTTATCGCCCCCTGTCATTCGGCCTGGAGAGCTCGCCAGTGGGCGGGGCGATAGACTGTCCTTTGAGCTTTGGTGATGCCCCCCTTGTTGCCTTGTTC